TGGGGTTGTTAACCAATGTCATAAAACAGCATGTGTGTTACTGTTACATGAGAAACTATCTGTTCTGTAAGCCTTCACCTGAAGTACAATAAAATATTTAAAAAAAAAAAAAATTCATCTGCAACTGCCAATCAGAGCTTGGATAAACATGAAATTACTAGTGTGAATAGTTCCATCTCAAAGCAAAAAACACAACAACCCTGGTTTTTAAGTCTGTGCAGCCTTATTGTGGCTAAATGTACGTTTTCATTTAGAATCTGTAAAATAATAAAAAGAGCTGGCTGAAATCAAGGGTGACTGGGATGTTAGAGTTAAAATAACTAGTCAGAGGAATAATTTAACAGAATTTCAGACATTGTGGTGGGGGGCTTTATCATGGGCTCCAAATCTTTGCCTCAGGAACAGCTACATGCTCCAGTGTGCATTAAATCTGCCCTGCACAGTCCACAAACCTCTGGGGAAGACAGTGTAGATGGAGCTGTAGGGGAAAAAACAACACTCCCTATTTGTTCAGATCTGTTCTCCATTGAAGGGAACCAAACCAAACTCAAGCCCACTACCATCGAGTCGATTCCAACTCATAGTGACCCTATAGAACAGAGTAGAACTGCCTATAGGATTTCCAAGGCTGTAAATCTTTACGGATGCAGACTGCCACATCTTTCTCCCGCAGAGGGGCTGGTAGGTTCAAGCTGCTAAGCTTTCAGTTAGCAGCCCAGCACTTTTAACCACTACATCACCAGGATTCCTGAAAGCAGCCAGAAGCCAATGCGTAAATGAATAAGCCTGGCTGTGTTCCAATAAGACCTTGTTTATGGACAATGACATTTGAATTTCATATAATTTTCACATTCAAAAAACATCACTCCTCTTTTGACTTTTTCCAGTATGTTGTATTTTAAAATGTAAAAACCATTCTTAGCTCAATATTGGCATGAAAACAGACAGTGGGGGTGGATTTGGCCCCCAAGTCATTTGCTAACCTTTGATTAACTGATGGTGAACGTAAAGTGTAAGCTTTTCTGAGGATGAACTTTAAATTTGTAGGTTTTCATATTCAAACTACTCATAGCGTCCTTTTTAGGAAAATTACAAAAACAAATCTAAAAAGATGTTTTCTGACTCACCCTTTGTTGTATTTTCAGATATAACATTTTCATAGCTTGCTATGGCTGATATTTTTGGATGCCCTTTGGGGCAGTTCATTCAGAAATCGTCATATTAGTCTGTTATTTTCTAATTTTATCACATAAAAGTGTATGTGTCCTTTCTCACACCACTAGGGCCACACGAAGCATCTTTTACCACTTTCTTTGTCATATTGAAGATAAAGAAGAGTAAAAAGCCATTTACCTTCTAAATGACTCAAAAGATCCTGCCAGCTGTGAAGAGCGTTTTGATATTTGTCAAGGGAGAGAGGGATGTGGAGAATGCCTTTTCTTGTCTGTTTGTTGAAAACTACCTCCAGCCCAGGGTGTCTGCTCACATTTGTAGCAGACTGGGTTATTGCCAGGTAAGATTAGTAGTAATTAGACAAACCTGCCACCCAATTACGCCTATTGAAGGTCTTCACCTCCTGCGAATGTCTCACGTTATTAAACCTAGTTCAATCAGTATCTGAAAGCCAACAAAGAATTCTGGAAGGTAATCTCCAACTCTGTATCATGGAATCAGCAACCATTGTCATTAGGGTTGAACCTAAGTACTTACCTACCAGGAATAACTGAAAAAAACAAACAAACAAAGAAAAAACCACTCTTGAAATAAGTGCCTTCCCTCTTACTGTAACGTCTTTTCACTGGACTCATCCGAACATTACCTCATCTCATCTCTGAAGGAATGAAAATCTAGTTGTCTGAAGTATTCAAGTCTCTATCTGTCCCCTAATTTGCCCACCCCTCCTCAACAGAAAGTAATCCACTCAATGGCAGGAGGATGTGTTCTTTTCTGATGAAGTCAGAAGAGAGGACTCATAAATCCCCGTGTCTAAACACAAGCTTAGTGGCTGCTTTGGAGTCATATTCCATGAGACTGTGTCTGTCTTTCATCTGCTCGCAGGCACTCTCCTCCAGCCTCTAACGATAATATATGGTATGCTGGCTCAGGTGGACGGGCAGGAATCTCACAGCAAAGACTGAACGTACAAGTCTGCCGACACGAGAGCCCCTGTGTTTCTCATCAGCAGGCTGACTTGTGGATGACCACATTGCTGGAGCTCAACCAATTGCCTCACCTGGTGGAAAATAGGAACATATAAATCACCTTTGAATAAAGTTTCTTGGTAGAAATAGAGCAGACTGCTAGCTCCCAATTGCCTGAAATGTGTATAGCAGCTTATATGACCATTCTACCTTTTGAGAGGATTAAGAACTAAAAACTGTATTAAAAAGTTCTATTAAAAGAAGCCTACCAGCCATAGGAAACCCTGGTGGCATAGCGGGTAAGTGCTACAGCTGCTAACCAAAAGGTTGGTAGTTCAAATCCACCAGGCAGTCCTTGGAAACTCTATGGGGCAGTTCTACCCTGTCCTATAGGTCCCTGTGAGTTGAAATTAACTCCATGGCAACAGGTTTTTTTTTTTTTTTTTTTCCTGGTTATCAGCCATAGGGAGCCCTGGTTGCTCAGTGGTTAAGAACTCAGCGGCTAACCAAAAGGTTGGCTGTTCGAATCTACCAGTCGCTCCTTAGAAACCCTATGAGGCAGTTCTACTCTGTCCTGTGGGTCACTATGAGTTGGAATCGATTCGACAGCAACAGCTCTGGTCTTTGGTATTAGCCATAAAGAGAAATGAAGTTCTGAGGCACATTACAACATGGATGAACCTTGAAAACATTATGCTGAGTGAAATAAATCAGACACAAAAAGACAAATATTATATAATCCTAAATAATATGAAATATCTAGACTTGGCAAATGCATAGAGACCTAAGTTTATCTGTGATTACCAGGGGCTGAGGAGAGGGGAATGGAGACTTATTGCTTAAGGGATACAGAGTTTCTGTTCTGGGTGATAAAGTTTTAGAAATAGATAATGGTAATGCTTGCACAAGATGGTGAATGTAACTAATGTCATTGAATTATACACTTAAAAAATGGTTACAATGGCAAATTTTATGTTATATATATTTTACCACAATAATTTTTTTTTTTTTTAAAGGGAGACTATAGTGCAATGTTTGTTTAGGGCTGTGAGTTATGAAAGTAATATAGGAATCTCACAAAAGAAAATAGATAAATATAATTTTATTTTTAAAAAATTATAGACTGAAGTTAAGCACTGGGCCTATTATATTAGTGCAGTAATTCCCAACTCAGGCTGCATGTTAGAGTCACCCTGGGAGCTTAAAAAAAAAAAAAATTCTAATGCTCAAGCTGCACCCTAAACCAATTAAACAAGAATCTGGGGGGAGTGTACTGGGGTGGGGACTAGGCATCTCTAGTTTTTAAAGCTCTCCAGGTGATTCAAATTTGCAGACAAGGCTAAGAACCACTGCATAGAGACTACAGCCCTTGCCCTTCTGAAGCATAATCTTACAAAATCTACTTGGTGGACAGTTTCCCTTCCTCATTTCTGCCAATAATTTCTTTACAGCTGGAATCTGGAATTAAAAAGTAGAAAGATTCACACATATGTATAAAATACATGCACACTTATTTTTATTTATTTAACTTAAGCCCTGGTGATGAGTATATGAATCAGAAAAACTGAGTGCCTTGGGAACGTATATACCCTCTCCAAATCTTTGAAGAACCAAACTCTACAAAACACACATGCAAGATATTTAAGTCATAAAACACACACACATACAAACTTGAATCACCTTCAGGAACCATGACCCAATAATATATTTAATAGGTGAGATCTCATTCATCGATATTAAAAACAAAATCCCAACATCTAAACTTTGATGAAGACCTGTGCCCTTAGCAAGAGCACTTACAGTTAGAAAGGTTTATCGGTAGCGCTTTGAGGTAGCATATTTTTGTAAAGTAACAGAAGTCACAGAGCTGCTCTGCAGTTGATCCTGGACTCAAAGGTGTAGGCCTTGGTAGAAGAAAGTGAATTTGTCTGTACTAATTGCCAATGTCAGCCGAAAATACTTCCTATCATCTCCCCTGGGCCGTCCCTCCGCTACACTGCATGCATTGTGGACTGAGGAAAATGAGGATTGAGGAAAATGGCATTTGGATGCTCCTTTCCTCTTGGGTTGGCAGCCTCCCAGGCTGTGGAGTCATCTTTTGCCATGTGCCATCCTCACAGGCAGGAGAATCACGGACCTGACGGGAGAGGGAAATAGGGTGTAATGGTGCCTTTTATTTATTAGGTCTAAAAATTTAATTAATTAGGAGTGACTCACTCCTCCAAGGCTATAAAGAGGTTCATTTCTGGACTTTCCCATATGATTCAGGCTCTTTCAGACTCCCTCGTTTTCCCCCCTTGGGTACAATCATTTTCGGGTATCATTAAGCTTTCTGAGATTTTCCTAACAGGACTGTGAGCATAAAAGCTTAAAAAAAAAATCCACATACAAAAACAACAGAAAACCCAGGTTCAGGAGCAACACGGAGAACAGGCTTCCTTTGTGCAAGTTAAAAATGACACAAGGTTACAGCTCAGGAGAATGGCCTGCTTCTTTAAAAAAGAAAAAAAAATTCATCTCAGCTCTGCCTTTTAAACACAAATATACAGTCAGAACAGGCTAAGGATTAAAGCTGTAAAATGGTCCCAACAACCTCCAACCTTGGTGCAGGTCAACCTTTTGCCCAATAGTCATAGGTTAAAAGGATTTCTAATCCCTAAAAGCCCTTTTGTCCCAATGTACTTTGCTGTTTGAAAATGGAACACTTAGAAGTCATTAATATACAAATGAGTAAAAATAGCACATGTCCAGATAAAAAAGGGCATGAGCTGGGCCTGAGGTGCCGCTTAAAACTGTCATTCGGTATCATATAAAATCCTAAAAAGTTGCCCGGAAACAGGGCCCAAGGCATCACGGAACATACCAGCCACCCAAGTCAATAACCACACAACACAACTGAGCTGTAGGCTTCAAGTATCCAAGGTGCTACAATAGCTGGTTCTCTAAAGAGCTCAGGCTGACTCTCAGAAGCGCCCCTACCCCACCCATGATACAAAAAGTAAAACACTGCTTACTTAGGGTCACTAAAAGACACCGGGGTGGAAGGAGAGGCGTGAGAGAACCAGTCTTCAAAGACACCAGCCTTACAAATACAAATAAATTCTTCAACATTTTGTACAACTACAAGGTGCATGAGCTGGTATTCAAGCAATCACTTTAAACTGTTTGGTTTTGTTTTTTCCCCTCCCCTTTCTGTATCAAACAGGAGAATGGTTCCATTGGGTTAACAGTGTCATTTTTAAATGCCATAAATTAAATAAGTTAGTTCACATTTTTTTTTTTTCCCAGCACTTAAGTTATAGTTAGTCTCTAATGTGCTTTTGAAGCTTGCTTTAACAGTTCCAGGTCTCGTCTGCGGATAGCGGCGGTTCTGTGACAGCCATATTCGCTCAGCTGCAAAGGGATGAATTGTTCCAGCAGCCCGAGACCCTGTCCAGCAGGACTGGTAAATAACTTAGTCCATGAAGGTTTAAAGTTTCCGCTGAATCCCAAAAATACGGTACTCCCTGGAAAAAAAAAAAAAAGTTCAATTTGTATAGCTAGTTCCAGGCAAGATAATGTGGAGGTGAGCCGGAGGTGAGCAAAACAGAGATGGCTATAAAAAAAACAACTACACTTCCTTACGTCAACAAGTGAACTCTTACCACTCACCTCTTGCCCCAGATAACAAACCACTTCCCAACATACTTCCGCTAACACTGTCCTCTTATTTACGAATTATCTTAATGGTACCCACTCCAGCAAAATAACCTCATGAGAATGGTCTGGTAGCTAAATTCCAACATAAAAAAATGTATATGTTGCTGGTCTCCTAAAGATTACATAAAATAATACAAATACAAACCTTTGTTATAAAGATGAGCTGGTTTGGCTAATCCCAGAAGTACTAATGAATCTGAAACATTCAACTCTTTTATTTCTCCTCTTGTGCTCAACAGAACAATTGACCTGCAATTAAAAGTTTAAAAAATCAGAGTAAAATTCAATAATGCGGCATGTATTTGCTAAGTACTTTTCTGAAATGAGTACAAAACCAAAAAAGGCCAAACCAGTTGCGATCAAGTCGATTCCCACTCATGGTGACCCCATGTATTACAGACTAGAACTGAGCTCTTTAGGGTTTTCAAAGGTGTGACCTTTCAGAAGCAGATCGCCAGGCCTTTCTTCCAAGTTGCCTCTGGCTAGGTTTGAACCTCCAACCTTTCAGTTAGTAGCTGGGTGCTTAACCATTTGCACCACCCAGGGACTCCGAAATGAGTATAGTATAGAAATACTAGTTAAAAGCACAACTCATAATGAAAAAAATCTCAGATACATTCTCATCTCTGCTATTACACGGTCTCACTCCCCTGCCCCACCTAGAATATCTCATGTTGCTATTACAAACGGTCTCTAAACACAGGGAGACCACAGGTCATTTGGGTAAGCTGACCTAGTGGACAGCTTGGGACAGAGTTCTTTTAGGGAATAAAATATTATAACATAACTTGGGAGGTTTATTTTGTTTTGTTTCAATGCTTCATTTATGCTCTATTATCTGTTTATTCAATAAAAGGATAAATACCAATTCTAAAAACTAAATAAATAAAATCTGTTTCCCATGGTTGGGTTTAAATTGTCATCTTTATCAGGCAATAAATAAGTACACATACTCAGATCTGTTTGTGAATTCTCTCTTCTCTTCCTCAGATCTCTCTCTCCTCTGCCAGCACCAAGCTGACTTAATTACTGTGTCTTTATCATTTATATTAATATCTGATAAGATAAGCCCCTTTTATTATTGTAATTTATTTTTTTAATGTTTGATTACTCCCCCACGTTTGTTTTCCAGAACTTCTGTATTAACTGTCTAGTACAATGGAAAAGTAATCTATTGGGATGCTGATGGAAATGTGCTAAATTTACATTTTAATTTAGGTAGAATGACATCCTTACAATATTGTGTTTTTCATCCAAAAACAGGGAGAGCCTCTCCTTTTAGTCAGCTCTTGTTTTATATCCTTCAGGAAAGCATTTATTTTCTTACTGTGGGTCTTGACATTTCTTATTTAATCAAGTCCTCCGTTTTATGGTGCTGTGTGGGTTCTTTCTAAATTTGGTCAGTCACTCAGGCCAGTCCCGAAGGATCACTTACAGGGCACCATCATCCCACCGCATGTGCTGGCTCTCTAGAAGTTGTTGCCAGTTACCTTCTAACTTCTTAACACTTTGTTAAAACACAATATACATACAGAAAAATATTTCTAAGTGTATAGCACATTAAAATTTTATAAACTAACCACACTTTGTAACAAGCACCCAAATTAAACAACAGTAACAAAAAACCCAGAACATTACCAGTATCTCAAAAGTCCTCTTTCTGGACCCTTTCTGGTGATTTTCAATTAGTTAGATTTAATTCTTTATAGGGGAGCTTTCAGGACTATTGTCTTGTCCTAAGGAGCCCTGGGGCACAGTGGTTAAGAGCTTGGAAGCTAACCAAAAGTTCAGCAGTTCGAATCCACCAGGGGCTCCTTGGAAACTCTATGGCAGTTCTACTCTGTCCTATAGGGTTGCTATGAGTTGGAATCAACTTGATGGCAATGGGTTTGGTTTCTTGTTTTTGGTCTTGTCCTAAATACCTGTGGTGAGATTTGTGTCCTTGATTGTTTTAGAGGAAGTGAGTATATTGTGTTTTCAACATTAAGAAAAATCTTTAAACTGCTGAAGAAAATTGTGGCCTCTGAAAGGAATTCCTTACAAGTGTCTTAAGGCAGAAGATAGTGCTATACATGTACATTGAATATTACACCCAACTGTAGTCCCAATGGTTTCGTAGACTTACTGGAATCTGATTCTGTAATGTGTAAAGAGCATAGTGATCAGTTTGACTACAGATGATTCAAAAGCTAAAAGGGCCTTTACTCCCTGGGAGGCTGATGTTCTTCCCTCAGTGGCTTTCCCAGAGGAAGGCCACGTGTAAATCACTATCTGCAGCAAAGCCAAGGGGTGGGAAGGCGCCTGAATTTATCCCCTTACCTCCAGGCAGGGTTTACCAACACAGAAACAGAAAGGTTTCTCTCTTGTGCCTCCTTCCTCACAGAACAACAAAGAAACACTCATCAGAAGAGCTCTTCAAAGAGAGACCAGACAGTCACCTCACTTAACAATCAATTTACTCCTTTCTAGTCACTTCCAAATGACCCAGCTAATGACTTCATGTACCAGTCATAGTACAATGCCGTGCTAGGGTCCATCAGTGGGACAGAGGACTGCAAAGGTAAAATCACCTGTAAATTACTTCAGAATGGTAATGAGCCTTCTGAGTGAGTCCGATGCAAGGTAGATCAACTTAATTCTAAAAAATGGGATAGTGACGTTCCAAAACATTGAGGTTTCCCTCCTTCTAGGGACCTCCCACCATTTGCAAAATCTTCTAACATCCAAGTTCTCGCCATTAATAAACAGTGGCTTATCCACGATCATGGAGTCCCTGGGTGATGCAAACTAACACGCTTGGTTGCTAACTGAAAGGTTGCAGGTCAAGTCCACCCAGAGGCACTTTGGAAGAAAGGCCTGGTGATCTACTTCTGAAAAATTAGCCATTGATTTTCAGCCCCATGGAGCACAATTCTGCTCTGACACCCATGAGGTTGTCATGAGTTGATTCCAACTCCAGGGCAACTGGTTTGTTTTTTTTTTAAATTCATGATCAGCAGCTCCGGCCATAGTGGCACTGATATGTGCTGAGGAAAAGAATGAATACCTTTCACAGAGCCCTAAATGCCCATAAAGTATGAAACAGAAGATTGGGTAGGCAAACCAATGCTCAGGTTAACCATGTATCATCTTTTTGGTGGCTTGTCAGTGTTACAGAGCAAGCTTCACCTACCTTGGAGGGACCCCTGTTTTTAAATACTCTTCCATGCGACTGACATCAGCAAGAGAGAAAATCTTTTTTTCCGTCAACCGGAATGGAACATTGCACGCATCCACAACAAGGAGGAAGAGACCTGCACTTCGGAAGGTGAAGTCTGTGCCGTTCACCTGAAAAAGCAAAAATGTCCTCTGATGTAATCACCATTTTGGTAACATTTCCAGGATGACCTGTCTTTCCAGCCCCTTCCTCGGTCTTCTAAACCCCGTATTCAAAATATATTTCCAAGATTCAAATTGTATATTCCACTTAAAACCAAAAAAACCAAACCCGTTGCTATCAAGTCGATTCTGACTGATACTGACCCTATAGGACAGAGTAGAACTGCCCCATAGAGTCTCCAAGGGGTGCCTGGTGGATTCGAACTGCCGACCTTTTGGTTAGCAGCCGCAGCTCTTAACCACTATTCCACTTACTACTTCCCAAATCATGCCTGTGGATAAGAAGCTCTGAGCAAGGGATGGCAGCCTCCACTCAGCTAGGCTCAGTGACTCCCTACATAAGCACTCTCTCATCAGGGTCAAAGGTTTGTAATTCAGAGATCGGGTGGCTGCTCCACCCAGATGAGCAGGCGGAACCTTTTGTACTGCAGCTCAGAGGGCTCACTTATTGTCACCTTGGTTCAGAAAATATGTATCATGCCTTGACCCATGAAACCCCCTATCTCCATTAGAATTCAGGGCTGAAATATCATAGGACCCAGATTGCATTATCTCCTTTACTCCAAAAATAGCTCTCCTCTGAAATCAAAATGGAAAAGTGGTCATTTTACTTGGATTTAAGCCAGAAGGCACCATTATATATTGTTTCACAGTAAGTATGAGCTGGAATTTCCATAGTCATCCTCTTTACATTATTGGTTTGTGAACCCTAGGAACTTCTAACTATCATTAATTCCTCCATCAGAAAGGAAAAGAACCAAAACAAAAGTGACTATACTGAAAAAATGATTCAACGATGAATAAATCCATAGGCACTATTTCTGCTTATAATATGAAAAATATAAACTGTGCTAAAGGCTGGGATCCTGGTGGCACAGTGGTGAAGTTTACAGCTGCTAACCAAAAGGTTGGCAGTTAGAATCCACCAGCTAAAGGCTAGCAAAGGATAAATGTTCTCACCACTATACCTTCCCTCACATGGAACTGACTTGATGGCAATGGGCTTGGGTTGGTTTTGGTATTGATCTCATGGGAATTCAGAATGGCCTTTTAGCTGTGTTTAAATTGTTCTAATCCAGTGAATAATCCTGAAATTGCTGAGACCTGGTTAAAAAAACAAACAAAAAAACAGCTGCCATGAAGTAGATTCTGACTTACGGCAACCCCATGTGTGTCAGAGGAGAACTGTGCTCAGTAGGGTTTTCACTGGCTGACTTTTCAGAAGTAGATCACCAGGCCTTTTTTCATGGACTCGAACTTCCGACTTTTCGGTGAGCAGACAAGCACACTAACCATTTATACCACCCAGGGACTAAGAGAACTGGTGGCTATTTTGGCTCTAAGCTCAATTCTAATTTTGACACTGAGGCTTAGATTTATATTTCCATTCACTTGCTTAGAAAAGACAACTAACACTTTGCAGCTGCAGTGTCTTCTTCTGGAAAAAATGGGAGGCAAGGCAGCCTTAAAATAGAAGAAAAGGCCAAAGAGATTTTAAAAACTTCATTCCCCGTATTTTCTACCAAAAATTTGGGAGATTAAGTTTCAAAAAACCAGGTTAGACACAGCTTTCTACATATTGATTGCCTATGGCAATTATTTTTAACCAAAGATGCCTTTTCTCTTGTATAAAATAAATCTGGCTCACCTGTAACACTCCAGTTAGTGAGTAGAAAGTAATGTCAACAAATTTTAACATTACCTAAAAGTAATTAGTAAATGCAGTCTACTGGGAAAAAAAAAAAATTAATAAAAATAAAATGATTTTAAAATGCAAATGTTTTGGAGTTATTTATACCTCCATTATGGTGCCTGGAAGTAATCAAATGTGATTACAAACAAGTGACTACTACCAGAGATAATTTAAGTTATCAAAACCAAAAACCCGTTGCCATCAAGTCGATTCCAACTCATAGCGACCCTACAGGACAGAGTAGAACTACCCCATAGGGTTTCCAAGCAGCAGCTGGTGGATTTGAACTGCCAACCTTTTGGTTAGCAGCTGAAGCTCTCAATCACTGTGCCACCAGGATGCAATAAAAAAGCAAAAGTCACAACAGTGTACACGCCAGGTGGTACTTACAGAGATAACGGTCGGGTCTCCACGCTGAGCTTCTGCTTTACTGGGTGACTGGAATTGCACGGGGAGGTAGCTTTTATGAGGATCACTGGTAAACACCACCTAGACAAGGCAGAAATTCCGTATTCATGTTAATTGCATCTTTCTTCAGAAGGTTCCCTCAAAATATGCTCAATTACATCAAAGCCAGTGGGTGTTTTTTCTTTTTTTGAAATTGTTATACATTTTTCATGACCTAGAGTTGCATCTTTAGATGTGGGCTTAATACACATAAGTGTATGATCCTGATTTTCTGGAACAGTCCCAGTTTCAAATAATTATCACTTGTTAATAAAATAAATTCAGTAAATGACTAGTCAAATGTGCTTTACATTTAAATCTTTGTAAATATTTCATACGAAAACAGTTACATATCTATGTTCTCAATTATATGAAATAATCAAATATACAGAAACCAAAGAATATTAGTAGTTACCAGTGTGGGAGGGAAGGGAAAAAGGTGAATTTTTCCTTAGGGGGTGTCTTAGTCAGCTGGTGCTGCTATAACAGAAATATCACAATTGGGTAGCTTTATCACTGTTTAGGAGGCTAGATATCCAAATTCAGGGTGCCAGCTCTAGGGGAAGGCTTTCTTTTCTCTCTGTCAGCTCTAGAGGAAGGCCACTGTCTCTTCAGAGCTTCTGCTCCTGGGTGATCTTCATGTGGCTCAGTATCTCTCTTCCCCCATCTCCATTCACTTGCTTGCTTGTTTAATCTCTTTTATGTCTCAAAAGAGATCAACTCAAGACACACCCTGTACTAATCCTGTCTCACTGACATAACAAAGACAACTCATTCCCAAATGGGATTATAACCACAGGCATAGAGGTTAGGATTTTACAACACGTATCTTTGGGGGACATAATCCAATCTGTAACAGGGTGCACTGAGTTTATGTTAATAAGGGTGGGATAATTTGGAAAAGGGCAGCGATAATGGTTGTACAATATGAAGAATGTAATCATTATCACTGAATTATACAGATAGAAATTGTTAACTTGGCAAATGTTTTATGCATCTTTTCACCACAATAAAAAAAAAATGAGGATAAAATTATAAAATATATTTAAAACAAACAAACAAAAACAGTCACAAATCTTAAAAGGCCCTGTTCAGACCAACTTTCCTGAACTATGGCCCAGTTACTGGAGGATTGAGGGAGTAAGTGTATATTACAAGCACTACCAGGTTTAAAAAAATGTGAGTGGGCTTCTACATCACCACATCTAGACACTTCTACTTGATGTACAAACTCCTCCACAAATTGAGCCACACCTTATAAGCAGGCCCTGATTTCCCACTGTTCTAGCTTTCTCAGAAGCACTTCATCTACTTGCCTGTCACTCTGCGTATGTTGATGCCGCTCCCCTACCCAGAATGTCCTTCCCTTTTTCTTCTACCCCAGCAAACTACTCACAGTCCCCAAAGCCCACCTCCTACCTCTTCCCTGAAGGCTTTCTCTCCCTTAAAGGCACTTTTACTCTCACTCCATTTAGCACTTAAAAGTATATAGTCCTTATAAGTCAATATCGACAACTCCATTTGCAAAAGTACATAATAATCATGACACCAAGCATTCACAAGCTTGCAGACATTCTTTGAAGTCAGGCTTGGGGCCAAAAATTCATGCGACTTTTGTTACCTGCTCCTAATACACGTGTTGGTTCTCGATAATAAAAAAAAAAAAAGTCCCCTAAAACTTCCAAATAAAAGTGACGTTCCCAGATACTGTAAATATTTTGCAATTGCTCAAAAGCCAATCTAAGAATTAGGCTGGAAAAGTTACTTCCCCATGAAGATTATCTCAAAACATCACTTTAACAGTCCAAACATTACCTGGGACAGGCGAGAACCCATGTAACCTTCTTTACATGAACGCTTTTTGCTTTTGATTTTAGTTGTATTGGAGAACAGAGGTAGCTCAGGGATATGAAAGACCAATGCTGTGATAGTGAAGTTGCTGTTTAAAAAATACTTACACCCTAATGGAAAACATAAATCCAGCTTTCTCTCCCTGCTTTTACTGCCACCAGTGGGCAGAAACGAATGAAAAATAAAGAACTTATGCCGTGGAAAAAGAATTTTTGTTTTCTCAAACCACTTGGAAAGATAAGAAATGAAAAGAAAGATTTAGGAGTTTTCTCCGTATCAATAGGCAGTATGCATTTTGTGGCAATTCTTCCTTTAAAAAAAGAATCCCCTAGCTCAGTGGAACTCAGTGTGGGTGAGTATCAGAATTCCCTGGAGGGCTTACTGGCACACAGGTTGCTGGGTCCCATCTCCAGAGTTTCTGATTCCGGCCCAAGAATTCCTACTTTTACAAAATATTTCCCAAGTGTCGCTGGTGCTGCTGGTCTAGAAACCACTTCCCGTAGCCCACATTTGTTTGTGTAAAGATTAAATACAAGTTAAGGCACTATGGCCTCTTTTTCACTTTGAATTGGCCTGACTTCCTTTGGAACTCCACTCATGTGTCTGATTTTAGCCCATATTTTGGATTTACTTTCATTACCCTGCTCTCTCAAGATCCGGAAGGAGACTAATTAAGAACGATAAGTTGGGAGAAGGCTTTTCACTTCTAGTCAAAGTCAATCTGTAGTTTTAATTACAGATAAATATAACAGCACATACTTCAAAATTAAGAGTGGCTTTCTGCCAGTTTTCACAAGAGCTGTATTTTCTGAAGAGAAATTTCACACCACAAATAAAACAAAGAAAGCATTTTTTACATCACTGACATGTAAACCAAAAAGTGGTATTATAACAGAATCACGTATCTGAGAAAGAAAAGATGGTGACCAATGTAGCAACGTCTAATTTCAAGTTGTGTAGAATCCACATTCACACAGGGTACACTGATGGATCGCCAGTTGATTCCAACTCACGGCGATACCATGTGTGTCAGAGTAGAACTATGCTCCACAGGGTTTTCAATGGCTGACTTTTGGATGTAGATCAGCAGGCCTTTCTTCCAAGGTACCGCTGGGTAGCCTCAAACCTCTAGCCTTTTGGTTAGCAGCTTAGCACATTAACCATTTGCACATGGACTCCTGATGTATCACGGGGGAAAGTATTTTCTTATAAACTTGGACTAGTTTGCTTCTGATGAGCATCACATTTTAGAAAGAGCCAATATTCAGAAGAAACCATCTGTCATGGAATGAATTGCGTCCCCCCAAAATATGTGTCAACTTGGCTAGGCCATGATTCCCAGTATTGTGTGATCTCTACCATTTTGTCATCTGATGTGATTTTCCTATGTGTTGTAAATCCTACCTCTATGATGTCAATGAGGCAGGATTACAGGCAGTTATGTTAATGAGGCAAGGCTCTATCTACAAGATTATGTTGTGTCTTAAGCCAATCTCTTTTGAGATATAAAAAAGAGACATGGGGATCTCATACCACCCAGAAAGTAGCACCGGGAACAGAGTGCATCCTTTGGACCTGGAGTCCCTGTGCCTGAGAAGCTCCTAGACCAGGAGAAGATTGATGACAAGGACATTTCTCCTGAGTCAACAGAGAGAGAAAGCCTTTCCCTGGAGCTGGCACCCTGAATTCAGACTTCTAGCCTCCTAAACTGTGAGAGAACAAATTTCTCTTCATTAAAGCCATCCACTTATGTTATTTCTGTTATAGCAGCACTACATAACTAAGATGCCATCCAACATGTATAAACGGCAACACAGATGTTTCAAAGAACAGCATTCCTACTGCACAGAAACCTTTGGGACTTTTTTTCCCAGTGCACATCCCTCTTCTCCTCCGTGTTTACCTGGCTGGTGCCACAGCCTGGACAGGGTCCAGAGAGCACGGCCGGCATCCGCTTGACTGTTGATGGCTTTTGGTAATACTGTGGATACGCTTTGGCCATGCAGTTACTGATGTCTTTTGAGTCTGTTGTTGCCTGGATCTTGACCCTTTCACATCCCTGAGATGAACAGTAACTGTGACTATCCCTGTTACCTTTGGCTTTGAGATACAAAAACAGCAATCTGCACAAAACAGAAACCAACCCACTGAGTATTAGACTTGGTCTCAAAAGCTTAGGAACTTCCTCAAATAAGACTCATTATCAAAATGATATTGCTTCCACAAAGTGATTTTTCTTTAAAAGAAAAATAAATTACAAAACTAACAAAGTTGTTTATTTTTTTCCTTTCTATACTACTAGCATCCTAAGTCAAATGCAATACAATGTTAGAAAATATCTGGATATCCTGATTCAGTCGTTCTGGAAGATATCTAAGTTAATTTCTGGTTTGAATTAGTTCAATAGGTAATTTGGGGGGACAGAATTTGGCTTAGCTCAAAAATCCCTTGGAAAATTTGATATTGGTCTTGCATTTAGGATTTGGTAAGTTAGTGTGGTTTATTCTACTTTTTGGTTAAAGGCACAAAGCTGGAATAAGAAAAAGAGCAATTCTGACTTGTTTGGCTAAGGCCAAGACAGGGTCTCAAATCAGTTCCTGTGATGTTTAACAAGAGCAGATGGGCTTGGGGTCCTTCCATTTATACTGGGGCCAAAAGCAGGCAAAATGAACAGTTCTACCCGTCTGGATTATTCTCCTACTGCCAAGATGAATGAAAAAATCTAACTTTCAGGCAGCAGTCCAACGTCTGTCAGTGAACTCAATCTTTCTAAACCAAAAGAAAGGCAAGATTCTAAAGGATTAAATCAAATGGGACTGATCACTGGTGAACAGGAATTCATATTTTAATATTTAATAATATTTAATAATATTTAATAATATTGCAAAATTGCAAATAGGAGGTAAAAATCAGCCATTGCCCCGACATCCAGTAAGTTTAACATATACACTTAAGGAATGACAGGAACTATGATTAGTCAATTATATACTAATTGCTATATAATTAAAAGAGTCAAAATGAATAAGATTAAAAAGAATTAGTACCTCAGAGGCTACGGGACTCTTTTGAAACACCCAGACTAGGAAATACTTCCCCTCTTTTTACACATTTAATCAGTAATTCAATTAAATATAATTTGACTGTCCTAACAAATTTGAGTGTTCCGTTTATTTCTGTGGAAATGTCCAAGTTTGTAAAATACAGAATAAGAGTCCAGGTAGACTGTTTAAATCTAATTAGAAATTGAAAATCAGAGGAAATTATGAGAAGGAAAGATTGAAGCTTATCACTCTGGCTGCTGGAGAGTCACTTGGACTGTCACTGGACTGTGAGTGAGTCGCATGTTATTCAAAAGCGAACATGGCACTTAATGACTGAACCCCAGCTTCGTTCTCCCTCATCAGTCGTGCCACCCTCTCCCCACTCTGGACTTGCCACCTTCCCTAAACACGCCATGCCACATTTTTCCATGCCTCCATGCATTTGTACACACTCTTCCCTCTGCCTGCAACACCTCGCCCCACTTGTCTGTTCTTCCATCTCCTCCTACTTACTCCTCAGGAGTTAGCTCCATTGTCACCCTCTTGGACTGACACTGGCTATTCCAGGCTGAACAGGTTATCCCCAAAACCTCACCAAATATCTCACTACAGGACTTGCAGCATTTAAACCTTCTGCTCTTTAATTACTAGCCTACATCCTTCAGTGGACTATGAATTCAAAGAACTTGGCATCCTTACAGTACCTAGACAAAGGCACACAGTAGGAATGTCAGCTAAAGGCAGGGCTATCGAAGGAGCATGCTACTTGCTGGAAGAGTGGAAAGCGAGCCTCCCATAACCCAAAGGCTGAGAGCCTGCAACTGGAAACAAGCAGATAAAGCCAAAAGCACCCAAGGAGGACAGGATTAGAATCAAAAAGTGGAAAGATAAAGCTTAGAGAAAGTTGGAAGCAAATATGACTTTTGAAAAACTCAGTGTCAACTTGAGAGAGAGCCTTAAAGTCAGTAGGAAGACAAAAATGAGCTTTTACTAAAATGTGAACCGTATCATATGTAAATAATCATCTGAAGAGACATTATGGAAAACAGAAATTTCAATTTCCAATCTGGCCTACTGGTTCTTCACTGACAAGGATAATTTCTCTCCCTAAATTGCCTTAATAGGTATACGGCAAACATTTTCACTCGATTCCTACTGCCAACTATAATTACAAGTCATTCTCATTCTCCTCTCAGCCTCTAATAGTCATGTGCACAGAATTATCCCTCAGCAGCTGCTTTTCTAAGCAGCCATCACATCACAGCCTATTCTTAGCTACTCTGAAGAACTAGTAATTTCACCATTAAAGAAAAACAGCAATAATTCGCAATCCTTGGTTCCACTGAATTACCCAGTGCTGGAGTCAAAATAGAATTTCCTCTCGGACTGCTGCTTCTGCAGTTCATCCAGTGAACGTACAGGCTCGTAGTCTTCCATTTTGGATAACGAGCCATTCTGCCGCTGCAAAAAGCCAAAGGTAACCTGAAAACTTGCGTCTGAGGGATAGCAGAGGCCAACTCGAATCCAGTCATTCCTATGAAGGAGAGACAGTAAAAATTTAATTCGTACTTCAGCCAATATCTTTTTTTTTAAATTGTGGTAGAATATATAACAAAACATTTGCCACTTTTAAGCATTTTGAAGTGTTCAATTCAATGACATTAATTACATTCACCATGCTGTGCAGCCACCATCACTCTGCATTGTCAAATGCTTTTCATTACACTAAAGAGAAATGCAGCACCTCTTCCAGGTTTCCCTCTTCCCTCAGCCCCCATAACCACGAATAAACTTTTGTCCCTATGCATTTTCCCTCTAGATATTGCATATAAGTAGGATCATCTGATATTTGTCTTTTTGAGTCTGACTTATTTCACTCAGCATATTTCCAAGTGTCATCCATGTAGCATATATGAGAACTAATTTCTCCTTATGGTTGAACAATACTCAATTATATGGATATAGGAGCCCTGGTGATGCAGTGGTTAAAGCGCTCAGCTGCCAGCCGAAAGGTCAGCAGTTCAAACCCACCAGCTGCTCCATGGGAGAAAGATGTGGCAGTCTACTTCTGTAAAGATTACAGCCTTGGAAACCCTATGGGGCAGTTCTACTCTGTCCTAAAGGGTCACTATGAGTCAGAATCAACTTGACTGAAGGCAACAGGTTTGGTTTGTTTTGGCATATGGATATATCACTTTTTGTTTATAGATTCATCTGTTGATAGACACTTGAGCCATAGAAAACCTTTTGGCTATTGTGAATGCTGCTGCATTGAACATCTGTTTGATTCCCTGCTTTCAGTTCTTTTGGGTATATGTCTAGGAGTGGAATTGCTGCATCATATGCTAATTCTATGTATAACTTTTGAGGAACTGCCCAACTGTTTTCAACAGAGGCTGTGAGCCAATATCGTTTGAGTATTACAGAGCAGGCAAATTTTAGCCATGATGTTCTCCTTAAATTTTTGCTGTGTATTCAGCCACTAGGAACAGAAGTCCTGAACCCTGACATACTGAAGAACCATCTACCTTTATCTGTTACTCAAATTTCTCTTACCAATATTTTGTTAATATTTATATGCCCTATAAAAAATTCTTGGTTTCAATAGGACTTGAGAGCATGTGAATATAAGATGGATAACATGTACTCGGACACGCGATGGATAATAAAGATAGATGAGATGGTTGAGTATGGGTGCATTAAGATGGAAAAATAGCCTGATGGAAGGGTATCGGGTAAAACTCTTTATAAAGACTTTAAAAGCAATATGTAACAAAATCTTAAAATTGTTCACAGCGATTTTACCCAGTAATCCCACTAAGGAATAACTAGAAATGCAGACAAAAGATGTATACAAAAAGATGTTCTATGCAGTATCACCTATAATAGCAAAAAAGAGGAGGGCAGTGGGAAAAGTATCTAAGAGTCCATGGGGGTGACCATAGTTACATACGTAATGGCACATCCATATGCTGAGTGAAAACACTTCAGGGCGGGGAGGAAGGGGAATGCCCCAAAATGTTTACAATGCCTCAATATGATTAGTAGGATTGGAGATTACTTCAGTTTTCTTTGTTTTTCTCTATTTTGCATAATGAATATGTATAGCTTTTATAACTTTCAAAGTTTATTTTCAGAAATAGCACTATGACAAAATCTGTGACCTCCCATAATTATACTGAATTAAGAAAAAAAAAAAAGGCCATCTCCTCCTCTTCCTCTTGCATCTGCCCACCATGTAATTTTTACAGACTTTTAGCTAATTAACTATATAAGGAAAGCATGAATGAATTTCAAGCCCATGTGGATTTTTGTAATTTCAGATTTCTGGGCTCAGCCTTTTTCTACTTTAAAACACTTTTCCTTCTCCAACATTTGTTCAAAAGTTATTTATGGAACTTCCAGAACCCTGCATACCATTTGATTGTAATATCTCACCTCAAATTCATTACCCTGCTTGACATAACTTTCTGGATTATTGATCACTCTTTGATGTTTCTCCTTCTTCCTCTCTGACAACCATTTGCTTCTTTCATTAAATTCTCCACAACTCAGATATGGGAGTGATATTATCAGATTGGGCTTTTAGAAACCTCATCCTGGACACAACTGAACTAAGGATTGGAGATAGGGAGACCGAGTAGGAGGCTGCTGCAGATATCCAGGCAAAAGATGATGATGGTCTGGACTCAGTCATGAGCAATGGGGGTAGAGAGAAATGAAGAGATATGAATGGCAACAAGGAGATAAAATCAATAGGGCCTGGTTACTGATGGGATGGAGAGAGAAAAGGAAGAGTCAGGGATGAGTCCTGGGAATTTGAGCTTGGGTGATGGGGCAGAGTGGGATCACTATTCTACAGAAAGGGCCTAAGTATCTCAGAACAAGGGCATCCACCTCAGTGTTCATCCCTACTTGGAAGTGACCTTGGTGGCTGAATTCTCACATGTTCCAAGTCCATTTCTGTTCATTTGAATTGGGTGTTTTTTTTCAGAGAGTTCTGACAAGTCAGAGCTTGATGATCAGTCAGGTGAAGGCACCTCAGTTTTTATGCAGTCAGGAGAACGAGTCATTTCAGTTTCCACGTACGTATCTGAGCACTTTCATGGAATCCCATGGATTAACAGTTACACACATTGAGAATGGTTTACCCAGACTTTCAAAAAAGCCCCACCACTCCTTTCTTGTTTCATCTTCTGTCACTTCTCCTGATGTACCCTATGCTCCCATCACACTGACTCCATCTTTCCCTGAGTAGGAGTGTCCCAAACCAGTTGCCGTCAAGTTGATTCCGACTCATGGCGATCCCATCTATGTCAGAGTAGAACTGTGCTCCACAGGGTTTTCAATGGCTGTGACCTTTTGGAAACACATAACCAGGCGTTTCTTCTGAGGCACCTATCAGTGAATTTGAACTGCCAACCTATCGGTGTTTAACCATTTGTACTACCCAAGGACTCCTTTGTAACAAAACTGATCACTTAATCAGAACCACTTCCTCAATGCAGCCTGACCCAACTCCATTAGTCAGAATTAGTTGCTCTATCCTTTGCCCATTAAAAAATGGTATGTTTATCTATTTACTTGAGTGTTTTTCTACCTCTATACTACAAACTCCTGCAGGACAAGTACTTTTCTCATTCATCTTTACATATCCACCAACTGGAACATAGTAAACATTTGAATGAATTAATATAAAAATAGAGCCTTTGATTGAATATGATATTATTAGGAAGATTAGCTAGACAGACAATTGAGAAATCAGCGAAGGGACAGAATGAGGCTTTAAGACAGGAAAATATCTGTCATACATGCTCCAACCCTTCCACCTCATGCCCATAGCAGACATTGCTAATCAATCACACCATTCTCTCCTGTCAAGTGCACACCTGGCCTCAAAAATCTTTCAGTTTTCCAGGTAACCAAATGATCAACTGGAACACCTCCTAAAACTTTTTCCATCCCAGCAATAGGAAATTAAAGCATTCTGCAAACTGTATTAAAATCTATCGTTAAGTGGCTTTTTACACACAACACTCATTTCTACAGAAGCTTTCCCATGAAAAAATCCTTTTAAAATGACAGGATTCTATTTGTATAATCTCTTAATTCCATCAGTAGGAAATGTACAGTCTCCCCACAACAAGAGGAGCAAACTACCAGAATCTGGCATTCTTTATTTACTGCTTAGCTCATTAAAGGCTCCCTGGGTGGTACAAATGGTTAAACACTGGGCTACTAGCCAAAATGTTGGTTGTTTGAATCCACCCAGGGGCATCTCAGAAGACAGGCCTAGCTATCTGCTTCCAAAAGGTCATGGCCTTGAAAATCCTATGAGGCAGTTCTACTCTGCACGCATGGTTTGCCATGAGTCATAATCGACTCAATGGTAACTAATAACTACAAAGTTAATTAAAGTTACTATTTTTCTCCACTAAATTACTACCTGGAGCCCTGGTGGTGCAGTGGTTAAGAGCTCGGATGCTAACCAAAAGGTCAGCAGTTCAAATCCACCAGCTGCTCCTTGGAAACCCTATGGGGCAGTTCTACTCTGTCCTACAGGGTCGCTATGAGTCGGAATCAACTCAAAGGCAACGTGTTTGACTTTGGTTAAATTAGTACTTGTGTGCCTTTTGGAAACAGGAGTAATAAAAGCATACTTGTTGAAGTTTATGAGGTACAGAAAAGCAGTCCGTGGTGCTGGTCCATTCCAGTGGATGGTGTAGCCCTTCTCCAGCATGATTACCGGTTGGTACTGCTGGAAGGCAGCCTTCTGGTTAATGCCCCGGAGCACCATTGGGTAGGACGGATATTCATCTCGTGTGATGGTCATAGTAAGATTCTGAGTGCTCCATGCCTGCACGTAGACCTTCAAAAAATTATCAAGAATTAAATGGAAGGGAAGGAAGATTTAAATAAATAAATATCTCCAGAACAAAGTTAAGCGTCATTACTTTGCAAAGAGATTCTGTGGATTCTGTGGTCTATGCCAGACCACATGAACAGCAGCCAACGTCACACTATGAGACACCTGCAACGCAGCCTGCCCATCCTGAGATGGGAAAAACAGATCATACAATCTGCTAGCCAAGATCTTCATAATCTCTTCCACCACAATGGGCCAGCTTACTCATCAGAATATAAAACCTTTGTGGCTTATATAGCTTGTCAAAGCAATCCCTCAGTCTGAAGAACATACATACAAAAAATTAGTAAACCAATATGAAAACTGATACGCTGTAACCAAATCCAAAAGACTTTCCTCTCAACTAAGGGATAGAGAATTAAAATATCCTAGGGCTTTGACTTCCAATTTTCCATGACCAACATCAGCCAAAGTCATTTTTCCCTCATCCAAAAAAATTTTTCAAAGGTTATAAAAAGCTCTGCAAAAACTGGAAAAAAAAATTGAAATGAGACAAATTTGAAAGTTCTGAATTTCTTCCAGTGGCATTTGAACCACTTGCTATTCCAAAACAAAACCTCCCCCAAATACATTCTCCAAGGACAAAGCTCCAAACAATTTTTCTAAAACAAATCAGTATCCTGTAATCAAATTCTCCAGAAGAATTAAAACACTTGCAGAATATTGACATTTATAGTGCAATATGTCTAACCCTAACAACTCATTCACAAGATAATTTTCTAGATGCACATCTCTCTCTGTTGTTGTTACTGGGTGCCATCCAGTCAATTCTGACTCACAGCCACCCCATGTGACAGAGTAGACCTGCCCCACAGAGTTTTCTTGGCTGTAATCTTTACAGAAGCAGATCTCAAAGTCTTTATCTCACGGAGTGGCTATGCGGTTCAAACCATCAACCTTTCAGTTAGCAGCTGAGAGCTTAGCATTGAGCCACCAGGGCTCCTTACAACAAATGACTGCAAGTCTGGGCTTCTGGCCCAAACCTCAAATTCTCAGGAGATAATCTGTGACATGTGGTCAGGTCTGACTTCTGATCTGTAGTCCTAGCATTCTCAGAGCCTCCTGGGAAGCAGTAGACAACTTAAGTATTTCTTTCTTCATCTACAAAATAGAATTACTACTCTGCTTTGTAAGACAGAAAGATCAGGTTCACATTCTCAGATACATCAGAAATCCAAAGGATTGAGTAACTTATTGAGTAAATGCTGAATGAATGAATGAAAAAAATATATACATTATAGTAACAATGGTAATTTTATAAAAAGAATTATCATAACCATATATTTTATAGACACATTTATGATAATTTTAAAAGTATAGTTTTTATTAGTGAGCACCAACCACTTTAAGACAGACACACAAAAACATGTAGCTGGCAAGAAATTTGACTGTAACTGTAGTTACAGTTTGAATCCACCAGGTGCTCCCTGGAAACTCTATGGGGCGGCTCTACCCTGTCCTATAGGGTCGCTATGAGTCTGAATGGACTTGATGGTGACAGGTTTGGTTCGCTTTTTGGTATAGGGTTTTCAAGACTGTAAGTCTTTATGGAAGCAGACTAGCACATCCTTCTCCCACAGAGTGGCTAGTGGGTTTCAGTGGCTGATTTTTTGGAAGTAGATCACCAGGCCTTTCTTCCAAGACATCTCTGGATGGACCTGAACCTCCAACCTGTTGGTTAGCAGCCAAGTACATTAAACATCTACCACGCAGGGACTCCTAACCATACACACTCCTTCCCATATTAGTCCATCCTCTTATGCCACATCAAGTTAACAGTACTAGTACATGGTAGTCGTTACGTTTTAAAAGGTGTTTCTCAACCTATATCACCCTCTTCCTGTTTTCACAGACATTATATCTTAATATAATCAGAAGAATTTACTTTGACTCCTTCCTTGTCCTCTCATTTCCAATTCCCAGCCCTGTCCCTGCTTTCCCGTCATCTCTCATACCTGGAATATGGTCCATCTCACTTTCCAAGTGAGCTATTAATATTCTGCCTCCAAGGTCAGACTCCCTAATTTGGTAGAGATACCAAAAAAACCTATCGCAGTCTAGTCAATTCCGACCCATAGCAACCCTACAGGACAGAGCAGAACTGCCCCAAACGGTTTCCAAGGCTGTCATCCTTCCAGAAGCAGACTGCCACATCTTTCTCCCACTTGGTAGAGATAATGACCCCAAAAGCACAGAATAAAATTCTCTCTCCTGTGGCACAGCTATAGTATGGCAAGAAAACTCTGACCTGAGAATCAGGAAATATGAGTTCTTGACCCAACTATATCCTATCCCTATTTAGCCAAGGGCAAATCACTCACTTTTCTGGGACCCACTTTTCAACTTGTTACGTTACGTTAGCTTAGGCTAGGGGATGGGGGAGGAATCGTGCTTTAAATAAACTTCTACGAGTCCATGACTCCTGGTCAATTTTCTTCTCTCTTCTTTCAAGAAAAAAAGCAGGCTTTAGAAAGTGTCAACCACACTGAAAAGCTGAGATGTTCTCATCTCAGGCACAGTGTTATCAGGAGCCATAAGGAAGCAGACGTCATAATGCGTTCTGAGCCCACCTGAGCATAGGTCCCACTGCACACCACGGCGTTCCATTTGGTAACGTTAACACAGCTTGGATGGCGAATCAGGTAGTTGTCGATTCTTCCCACGTAAGTGTCCTTGTATCCTGTCACAGAGCCATCGATGTCATGGAATATGGAGTTCTTATCACCGTCTAGCTCACAATCTTCAAACCAGGGACCAGGCTTTCCAAAGAAGACATTCAGGGAGACCTGACAGCAGTAAAAAGCGAGGACGTTACAAAATGAGGGCTCCTGCCATCTGAGCCAACACACCTGCAAGGATCCAACCACAGGTTCATCACAACTGCTTGATGTTAAAGCAGCTCTGAGTGACAGTACGCAGTTGCCTGCTGTGGCACCAATCAGAATTTCCTATTCAGTTAATGGCATGCCTGGAAAAAAAAAAAAATTGCAAAGCCTTATAGAATCCAAGTGGCAAATGTTAAACTTTGTTTCCCCCATACACATACTTAAAAACCTGTTCTCCAGGCAAAACCACTCTGTGGTAACGGAATCAGAACAGCTGGGCAGACGGGGTTATGCAGTCATGTATATGTTTATTAAAAGTCATATTCTGTAGACTTACGCTCTGTGTATTTCCCTGTATGTAAATTACATCTCAGAAAAAAAAAACTATTATAAGTTCGGTCTTCAAAACTAGTTAACCATTTCGTTTCACTCTAAATAGTTATTTGTTCATATGACCCCTCTACCAAAAAATAAGTACAGTTCACATCTGAACCACAGTCTAAGTATTGCTGGGTCACTGTTAAAGTCACTAGAATCTGCTAAAAGGTGTATGTTACTCTTTCTCCTCGACACAAAGTTTAGCTCAATCATTTTCTTGTCAGGTGGAGTTACTTTAAAGTTTTTATTTAACACACTGTCATCCATAAGGTTTTGTACGGGGTAATCTGCAGCAAAAGACTTCTTTAAATTGTTAAAAGGCAAAGAAGTCACTTTGATGACTAAGGTGTGCCTGACCCAAGCCATGGTGTTTTCAATTGCCTTATATGCATGTGAAAGCTGGACAATGAATAAGGAGGATAGAAGAAGAATTGATGCCTACAAATTTTGATGTTGGTGAAGAATATTGAATATGTGGACTGTCAGAAGAACAAACAAATCTACTTTGGAGGAAGTACAGCCAGAATGCTCCTTAGAAATGAGGACTTTGTGTTGCTTACTTTGGACATGTCATTAGGAAGGACCAATCCCTGGAGAAGGACATCATGCTTGGTAAAGTTGAGGGTCAGCGAAAAAGAGGGAGACACTCAATGATACGGACTGACACAGTGGCTGCAACAATGGACTCAAGCATAGTAACAATGGTGACAATGGCGCAGGACCAGGCAGTGTTTCGTTCTGCTATACACAAGGTCACTATGAGTCGGAGCCGACCTGATGACACCTAGCAACCACACTTACCACAAAACACAAACTTGCAAAATGCGCTGCAGGTAACATTCATAGTCTTTAGCTTCTTCTTATTAGCAGTAAATTACTAATGTTATTCAAGCCATGCAGATACTCCTCAAAAATGCTTTTATACGTTCATCCCCCTGGGATGTTTTTAGACTAATGGAACATCTAATTGATAAACAACTGAATGGGCCAACAGTGAAGTCTGGGATAAGTGGCTCCAGGTTCTTAGTTCTAGACTTTTTCTCACTTCTTTGTATTGCCTGTGATTACATCTGAGAGATGTTTAGGGTATAGTTTCCATGTTTTTAGGTAGAAAAAAATTTGCAAACCATTCCCTTTACAAACTGTCCCCAGACTGTCACCACCATAGAGAACTCCAGGCTATGTCTCCACCACAGAAAAACCACTGGACTCAAACAGGATAGATTCTCTTATGTTGTTATAACCTCAGGATATAACAAATGCAACATCTAACAGAGGTGTTTTTCAATATGTCCCTGTCAGTGGTCTCTGAACTCTAGGCATAGGACCATGAGGAACTCCATGTGGGCAGTAAGCAAACAAGCCACCCTCCACTCTGGGAAGGTGAACCAGGATCCTTCCTATTAGTAGGGGAAGTTATCTACTAATCTAGCTCTTACCCCTTCCCTGCAGTCACGTGGCCTGACGCAAAACCACCCAACCAAGCTGACATCCCAGTTTGCACCTGTGTCTCTGGGCCATGCCTCAGCTGTTCTATAAAACCAGATACAGACTTTGGTAAACTGATTCCAAGTTCTATTTCAAACTAGGTAACCACAAAGTTTGCCTGTGGAGGTGGATAATACAACTATGAACGACTTTCCAGTTGCAGCTGTCTGTGGAAGAGGGGAGCTAGACAATCTGAGACTCAATCCCTCTTGTGTCACTGTGGTCATGGAACCAGCAAGATGAGCAGGGAGTGTTATGTAACAGGTCGTCCTGTGTATTAAGGGTAAAGGGATACAGAACAAACTGCTAAGAAAACTATTTCTGCAGGATACTGAAATGTGAACAATTTCCATATGTTCTTTGCAATCTTCATAAAAGCCCTTCAAAAGTTTAGATCAGAAATAACCCAATTTACTTCACATTGTCCTTTTCAATCTTTTATCCTCTCATTCCCCAGAAGAACAGGCCCCAGGTTAAGTAAAATACCAGGTTGGATCTAATATCGAGACTCAAATCTCTTAGTGGGAATGAGCTACCCACCAGCTAATTATACTGAATTTCACAAAAGTAGATGTCCTATTGCCCCTGTTAAGGAGCCCTGGGGCACAGTAGTTAAAGCACTTGGCTGCTAACCAAAATGTCGGTGGTTTGAACCCACCAGCTGCTCCGTGGGAGAAAGATGTGGCAGTCTGCTTCCATAAAGATTACAGCCTTGGAAACCCTATGGAGCAGTTCTACTCTGTCCTATAGGGTTACTATGAGTTGGAATCGACTCAGTGGCAATGGGTTTATTGTCCCAGTGAAACTCTACAACAGTAGGTATTTTTCCTTTTCAAGATATCACCTGAATGTCAAAAATATCCAGAGTCACATGGGGCTTCTGTTCTCACCCTGAACTCAATAGGACAGATGCATGGACTTAGGAGTTGTTTTGTATATCTTTCTCCTCCCAGTCTTATGAAGACTCAGTGTGATTCCTTTCTTTGTTTGTGTTTTTGTACCTTTGGGAATGTGCTATGCCCTCTTCTCCCACCATAGTCACTATGTAAGAACTATAAGACCATACTTACATGTGGGCCAAACTTCACAAGGGAGATATTATTCCTGGGAGTTATCTGCCAGGAATTCTTCATGAGGAAGCCAATCGCACTGCTGTACCTGTCTGGAGTTGGCACATATTTTTTAAAAGTGCTCCTGGTGAGATGAATGGGCCCATCATAAATCTGAAAGCCTCTAATTGGAAATGTCCTGTCAAAATACAAGACTGTGTTTCATGCACATGGCCTTGTCCTCTTAACAGCATTTCATATACTTATTCATTTTATAAAGATTGTTGAACTGTTGAATATCACCAATGCACAAGGCATAATTCTAGGCTCTGTAGATACAATGGTAAGTAACCAAGACAAGATCCCTGCTCTAATGAAACATATACTGTAGTATGAAAGACAACCAGAAAAACAAGGGATAATTGAGTTAATGGCAAGTGCTACGAAGACAATAAGACACAGTAATAAGATAGTAAGGATGGGGGAGATGCTATTTCAGACAGAATGGAAGATGGACAGGTGACTTCTGTGAGTGAGAAGGAGATAGGTATGAGAAATTCTGAGCAGAGAGCATTCCAGGCAAGGGGAACAGAAAGTGCAAAGACCTCTGGTAGGAACAAGCTTGGGGACTTGGGGACTTGCTGGTGTAGCTGCAGCAATGTGGTGAGTGGACAGATCGTTGGCCAGGGGCCTTGTAGGCCATGATGAGGAATTTGTCTATAATTCTACATGAGATGGGAAATTGTGGAGGGTTTTGAGCAGAGAAGTGACATGATCTGAGTTTTTTTTTTTTTAATTAAAAAAAGACCCCTCTGACTGCCGTGCGGAAAACAGATTGTAATGGGGGATGGAGTAAGTCGGGAGATGTGTCAGAAGGTACTGCAGTAGCTACCGTGGCTTGAACCAAAACAGAAGTTGTGGGGATACAGAAAGGAGGCAGCTCTGGGGTAGGTATGGAGAGAGAGAAAACGTTTGCTGACAAATTGGCTGATCAGGGCTGTTTCAACTTTTTTTTGCTGTTTTGTGTGTGTGTGTGTTTTAAACCTAAACAACTGGGTGGGATGTGGTGCTGTTTAAAGAGCTGTAGAAAATATACAAATATACAGTGTAGTTTCTTCCAATGGATTTAAGAAACGAGAATAGACAACTAGAAGACAATTACAAGGACACAATGAGATAGTTTTGCTTCTTGAAATAACTCATTTAAGACTTTCTTTGGTAACTCATGTACTTAGTTTTAGACTCCAAATCTCTAGCAATGAGAACAAAAGACGTACCTGTGCTTATGCGAGGAGAACTTCCTTTCAAGCCATTAAATGATAGTAAAAATGATATACTTAAAAGTATAAAAGCATAACTCCTCAAGGCCTACTACATCAAGGGGGCTAGCTAGGTTGAGAAATTCACTTTATTAGTTTTCCCCCTTTTTGTTCAAATGCAAACTCCTTAGCCATAATCATAAATTATCAACTATAATTAATGCACAAAACTCATAATATTCTGTATTTCTTAGGTTTCTCTCTTATTATGTTTTTAATAGTATTGCAAAGTATTTCTATGGCAACAAATTAGTTTACAACTTGGCAATGTTTTACAATAAAAGCATACATGTTAGCAAGAAAACCAAATAGCCTGGTTAAAAATCTATGCATAATGATGTATTTCTAAGCATATATCTCAAAATGGTTCTCCCACATACAAAAGGTTAATAAAGATATCATAAAAAATAAAAACTGAACCATTGTCCAATGAGAAAACTTTGTTTTAAAAAATTCTCCTTAGCAAAGCAGCAATAAGCATTTTGAAATAAAACTGGAGGCTGATATAGAATGAGAAGAGTGGAATTGACTTGGCTATCAACATACGGCAGGCCCACGCCACAGTATATATTTATTTTTTAAACCTACACATGAGGCGAGGCAGCCACAGCATAATAGTGAAGAGCACAGCAGTGAAGCCAGCCTAACTGGGTTTGAATTCCACCTCGGCCACTTAGGAGCTGTGTGACCTTGGACAAGCTCCTCATTTGTAAAAGGGGGATGATGACAGCAGCTACTTTGTTGGGTTTGCAAGGATTAATGAACTAATATGTACAGAGTACTTAGAACAGGGCCTGGTACAGCATCTGTATTTAATAAATGTTAGTTATTAAAAATCCATGAAGTTCTTTTCCTGGTGGCTTCCATGGTCTGACTAACAGGCGATCCACATAGAGTGTAGCCTGTAAGGATGCTCAATATTTCACAATGACAAGCACAGTGGGAGAGGAGCCAAGCACAGTGACCCTCAGCCAGAAGCCAGAAAAAGGCCCCCCGAACACACAACACTAACAGTCTATGTTTTCCCCTGGCCAGTCCTAGTTCAATGTCCAGAGAGAACATTACTTTGTGCAGGGCAAGTGTTTGATGAACTGTGCCACTGGTGCTGATACAAGGTCTTTAAGGACACTATTTTATTTTTGTCTGCCTGGTTTTTTCACAAGTAAAATGAGGGCTTTCTCAGAACTGAGGTACAGATTAATTAGTTAATAGTTCCCTAAAAGCTTTGAAGCATCTTTCCAGTGCTAAGAACTATTTTAATGACTCTTTGCTTATGACGACAGAAAACTTGCCAGGTCTGCCCCTGCCCCCTCCAACATCTAAAACGCAGTTAATTACACAGCTGTGGTTAGGTTTTGAGTCAGTCTGGGCATCAACCAACTCTCATTTTCTAGGACTCTTTTCAATAGATAATTTCCTTTTCCAGTGGCTATTTCTGAAAACCAACATCATAAAATGAGGGAAAACTGACATAATGTCATAGTTACAGTCTGGCAACTTTCTGTGGCTCAAGAAAGAAAGAAAAAACCGCCAGCCCTTATACAAGCAATGAGAAACAAGACAGGCTCCTTGTTATAAAACTGATAGTGAAATCTATGAAGTCTTTAATAATTAATGCTCCAGAATTCCAGGAGGACAATATGCACAGTAATAATAAGATGACGAAGAAAAGCAGTAGTATGATAATGAAGATGAGGTGAGATAAGAGTCCCAGTAGGAAGTAATCCATGCAGGATTAATACAGAAACCTTGAGAATTAGTGTTTTATTTATCGTTTAAATATAACATTCCACTGCTAAAGCAGTGCTTACCTGTTCCTCGGTAAAGTCCGAGGCTTTTGGTCTATTCCGCCAGTGCCGGCGTACTTGTTCTGACCCCCGAGAAAGCCGTAATTCCTGCTCTCGCCAACAAAGAGAGATTCAGACACCTCCTGGCTGGAACCTTCATCACTCGGGAAGCTCCCATCACTGTTAAAATGAGAACAATCATGAACCACACTTCACTTGGCAATTTAAATTTACTCTCACGTAAAGGTAAGCTGCAACTTAAAAAGCTAAAAATGTTAGAAGCCAGTTGCTTTTTCTAACGCATAATATCAAGTCATTAAAAATTGTTTCTAAACTGTGAAAATACCTCATATAAATGAATAAATATTGTATGTAAGTAAACTGAAGTGAGTTTAGGAGCAACAACTGATTAGTCCCAAGCAATAATTTTGCAAATGGGGAGAACAAACTTGCCCTCCGTGCAAGAAATAGATGAACAAACGTGTTTAAAATCACTGTTATTTGGAGGAAAAAAATGTAACATAAAATTTTTAATTCTTAAACACCATTGCTAAATTACAGCAGCTTCAAACTTTCACCCCCTCCCCTTTTTTTTGCCCTACTTGTAAGATCTTTGGTCTAAATTTCCAGTGTTTTCCTGCAAGAGAAAATATGATGGGCCTAGACTTCTGTGAAATTCCAGATACATTAAAGTTACTACTTGGGTATGAATTCAATTAACCGATAAAAATATTTGTTTGGCCCTCTAGTGGTATCAGGAAGAGGGTGTTAATTTTTTAAAAAAATGCTAATAAATGTACAACCTTCCTGCGTATAATCTAAAAATCAAGGGTTATTTTATCTTACAGCTTTAAAATGGTCAAATAAGTCGTTTTTAAAGAATTACAAACCTGGCAAAGGTCAGTCCTATTCCATTATCTGCAAATCTGTAAGAGAAAAGAGAATGAGGGAACATTTAAAAATTTACCGAGTCGTGTAAAAATAGATATTCCCTGAATATTTAACTGGCATAACATCCAGAGGTCTCAATAATATTGACTCGCTCCAAGACGACAAAAAAGTTTTACTTCACAACTACTAAGAGCACAGACTCTGTTGCCGGGGTACCTGGCTCAAGTCTGAGCTTTTCCAGTTACTAGCTGTGTGATCGTGGGCAATTTCCTCAACCTCTTTCTGCCTCGGTTTCCTCATCTATAAATTAGAATAATAAAATAATCTTCCTCATAGGACTCTTGAGAGCATGAAACATACCAATTTATTTATAGCATTTAGAACAGTGCCTGGACATAGTAAGCAGCCCTGGTGGCACAGTGGTTAAGAGCTCAGCTGCTAACCAGAAGGTCGGCAGTTCAAATCTACCAGCTGCTCCCTGGAAACTCTATAGGGCAGTTCTACTCTGTCCTATAGGGTCGCTATGAGTCAGAATTGACTCGACGGCAATGGGTTTTATAATTATTATTATTTTAAAAAACAACTAGATCATGGTATTCCCTTCAAAATTTCCAACATTTATACTCAAAGTACTTCCACAGATTTAATACGGTATCAATTTCGGAGGTGATAAAAGTCAGAGATAACAGTGAAATACCAAATAAATGTCAGTGCCAGACAAAATATTTTTCTAGAATCTTGAGCACCAAATCTTAGCTCAACATATATCAGGCCTCTGCTAAAATTATACAAACAGGGAAAAAGTGAGGTGCTTACTGCCTGGAGTCATGGTAAGACATAAGGCAACAGATTTATTAAGGTGGAATTACACAACTTCTGTTTTGAATGGCAATGGAAGAGCATCAGAAAAACTTTGAGTTTCCAAGAAGAAGGAAAAAAACACCCAGGTAGCTTCAAAAATCTGTATTTAGCTCTCTGACATAGACCATGTTTGTTATACAAAGCTAAATTCCCAGCTTCTGTTCAATCTCATCAAAACAGTCTCCTGTCACCAGACAAGCTCAGTTCCAATAAAAGCACCGGAATGAGACAGCTACAAACATGAGCAGTCTGTTCACTCTAGCATACTTCCTCGCTGCCTGTCCTGTCTGTTAATAGTCATAATATGATCCAGGAACCACTACTGAACTGTCATTCAACTGTTTTTTTTTTTTTAAATATCCTTACAAACGAGTACATGGATGTCGTCAGATAATAACTTTGCAGACGATACTCACGCTGAATTCTGAACGATAATGTCTCCTCCTCTGACCCACGCTCCATGATCGTTATTTTTAAAAGTAATGAGTCTGTCAATTAGAGCAGCAACACGTGGCTTTTCAGGGTCTGCATCTTGATGAGGTCGAAACCTTGGGGTTAAAAAGAAAGGGGGGGCTTTTAAAAAAAATTAATAAAAAGACAATGAAAATGAGCTATTTACAACAGTAAACTTAAATGTCAAGAAGCAGAATTAAATTTGACCAAAACAAAAGCAAAAAAAAAAAAAAATCTTTTGAGACAACTTAATTACTTGCAGTTCAAAAATCCAAAGGAAAAAGTCACGTTCACTTACATGTGTTCAGGGAACTGCATTCATAATCTTTTCAGTCATTTTTTAAAATGGATTTATAAGATAGAATGGACACTGCACAACATTTTAAACACTAAAACTGTTAAAAAACAAAAAAAACCCAGAACAGAAAATTTGGCATGTTTTCACAAATTCTTAAGCAACATGATACTAACATAAACTTCTTGAATAAATTAATCATGTATTTCAACATACATATTTGTGAGCTGGAATACTATCTGAGTCGTGTGCTAGTGAAATGCTCAAGATACAGAGGCAAAACTGGGTTGATACCTCAAAAATGCCGAAATTTAAAATAGATTGAATTTAATCGACTTATTCATATAATGACTGCATTTTACCTTTTCTTTTTCTTCCCTCTAAAACACTTAGTTTACAAAAACCTTAATGAAAAGGTCAAAAACATTGGTGTCAAAAACTGTCCACTATAACAACTCAAATAAATAACCTCATAAGGTCACCTTAAAAAAAAAAAAAAGATAATTTCCATCTTAATCGTACAGGTCTGGGGGAAAACACTAGCTAGCTTTTCACAAACCAATTCATCAGGATGAGATTTTCAATCATATCATCAAGACATATTGTTTGCAAAAATACTAACCACCACAGTGGCTGGGATACAGTAGGAGCTCACTAAATGTGTCTGATGGGATAAGACATCACACAAAGCTATAGCACAGAAAACATCAAGTGCAAGGGTCCCTAGGCATGAGTGAGCTTGGCACGCTCAAGGAACAAGAAAGGCAGCTGGAGCACAAGAAGGGTGAGAGGATAGAGTGAGTGAGCACCATGGAAAGATGTAGTTCTTTATTCTAAATGCAACTGGAAGTCATTGGGAGCATGGAATCAGGGAAGTAATGTGAGCAGATTCACTTGTTTTTTTTAAATAGGTCACGTGCTGCTATTTGGAGAACGGACTGTCTGAGAAGACCATCCTGGAGTCTCCTGATCTGTTTCAGGCAAGAGAAGGTGATGACGTGGACTTGAGCAGTAGCAGTGGAGGTAAGGATGGATATAACATCCTTAGATCGGGTATGTAACCCAGATCCTCTGACCCTCACTAGTTCTGACCTAACCTGAGTCTAAGCCATCCTCCTCTCTTCTGGCATTGTATCTACTGCCAAAAAGATTTGTAGCCATTACATAATTTTAAACAGATTGAATAGTTTTGGAAAGGAAATACACAATGTTCTAAAAAGAAAAAAAAAGCAAAAAGAAAAGTGCCACTAAAGCAACATCCGATTCTCTACTGTAGCCATCTGATCTTTTTTGAACCTCTTTGCCATATAAACTCACTGCTGACTGCTTGCTGGTTTTGAGATATCTTGTACTTTTCTCCTTTTTCCCTCTCTGTGTGCAGAAAATAGAGTTAATTTTCCCAATTTTTCATCATCATCTGTGGGATTTCAGCAAACCACCCAATATTCCCCTTAATTCTTCTCTGCTTTCACTGTAATAATCAGATCTGAAGTTATTTCACTCTTTTAGATGGAATTTCCCAATATGAAAGCAAGAGCTTTTTTAGGGATATAAATCCCCGTCACTGGATTCCTCTGTAATTTCACATCTTGAAGACACAAGGGAAGGGTCATCTGATTAACTGTTGAGTCAACTTCCCCTTTGATGAACAGACTGAATATCTGCTGGATATCCCATGGGCCTGATGTTTAATTCATGGACAGGTTTGTTACTCATTAATGATAAGAGTTTTTTCATTTTTACTCATGTCTGGATTGCCTGAATACATGTGGGCCCAGTACATACACTGGTTTATATAAAAAATTAAATGTATTAGCCAGCTGTCTCATTGTCTTCTTTTATAATCAGTTTTTCTACATAACAGCTTCCAAATGGAATCTGATTCCTTGTCAATATGTATGCATTTATAAACTAGTAAGAGAATTAATGGAGAGGAAAGGAAAGTGTTAACATTATCCTAGTATCATGTATACACACCTGGTAAAAAAACTTCTTAAGCCATTATGGATAAATTGTTTCATTGCTTAATTTGTCAAGTCTAATTAAATATCAATGGATTTTAAAATATATTTACTCATCCATTCCTTATTTTAAAAATGTCCTCAGTTTCTCCACTTCTCCACAGCTATTTGAAAATATTTCAGACTCAAGCTGACCTTTAAGGAATCCTGATGAGTAATTTTATGAACTACACTTCCCCAGTTGTCTCTTGACCGCAAGCCTTCTTAGTGTTTCACAAGGATCCTGCCTCACACTTCAGTCAGACACACCTATCTACAATGTAGTTCCTAAGTTCTCCTCTGATGAACATCTGAGTCTGGTGTTTTCTTAAATGTCTAGCAGTAGAGTCTATTAAATCTAGCACCCTTTGAACTCTGGAAGCTGATCAATCAATTTTTTATATGGAAAAACAGCATAAGCATGGTTTCTACTGAATATGACTTAAAGTTTGTGATCTTTTCCAGAAAAATCTCATTTCCATCGGAGATATTTTATTTACTTTGGCTCACATATATGATGTAAGAGAATTTTGCTGATACGCTGACCCGTACCCCAACTACATTTTGTGGTTATAAAGGAAAGGAACATAGAATGTGGGTATGATGTGACTCTGAGACAACAAACCACTGAACAGAAACAGCTTGATCATCAAATTTGGGACCTTCCTCTTGAAACAGATTTAATGCAGTGTTCCACTCTGACCACTAAGAATTAATTCTATGTGCTCTGGCTTTCAGTTTCAGGGATTAGACTAAAATATGATCTTAGTTTAACTAGTTATTCAACGAGTCATATTCTATTTTCGGCCAAATTTAGGCTCCTTTTCCACGAATCTCACTTTTTTTCCCTCTTGCTGCAACTATCTCTAACATCAACTTACAACTGTGAAGAAAGAGAAGAGCATCAACTTCCTCTTTGGCATTTCAATAAGATGAAAGCCCAGCCATAGACCCTAGAACAGCAGAACAAATGTTTTTCCAAAACCCTCCTAAAAATTTTCGAAACTTCATTTCAAATGTTCACACCTAAAAAAGAGCAGTTTTTGCTTTGGTGAGACATGCCTTGAATGTGATTTAAAAGAACAAGCACTACCTTGCACTGTTATCCAGACAGAGGTATTCTCGTGGGTCCGCAGCACTAGCGTTGGTTGTTTTGACACCTTTGTCAATAAATAAGCCAGCCTGAAAAATATAATTATGGACTGAAATGAATATGAATCTCACATTTCCAGCTACATACATAATGATTCATGGAAATAAATTTTAGCTTATTGTCTCTACCAAAAAAGGGCGAAAAGAATAAATAGCAAAGCAAAGGTATTGTAAAAACGGCTACTTTCCTGGATATTTTTATAATTTTACTTATTCAGCCATTCAATAACTATTTATTTAGTGCCTACCACCAAGCAGTAGACATTAACAAGAAAAACATGGTTCTTGTTTTTACTGATTGCTTGAAGTAGGGGGAAGAGATACAATTAAATAAGCAATTACGATCCAATCTGATAAGCTTATGATAAAGAAAGTACAGGATGCTTTGGAAGCAAGTAAGAAAGGCACCTAAAAAAGTCCGTTTTGTGTGGGGCAGGGAGAAGGGTTCAGGGAATGTGTCCTAAAGGAAATGACCTCCTAAAGCTGACACCTGAAGGATGGGGAGGAATTAACCATACAACGGAATGGGCTGGCGACACAGGGCATGAGATAGGTGGGAGGCAGCTGAAGAGCCCAGAGAAAAGTGTACCAAAGTCTGTACATTTGTAGAGAAGTCTGGAGTCGAGAGCACAGCACACTTGAGAAGGAAAAAAATCTTGGATGAAGGGAGGAAAGGTAAGGAATAAAGCTAAAGAGGAACAAATGCCAGATTACAGTGTTGATACACTGTAAGTATCAGGACAATGGGGCCTTTAATACAGACAATCAACTGCATTTATAGAAAGAACACTATAGCTACAACATGGATAATAGGATGGATAATAGAAAGGGGTAAAAATAGAGGTGACAGATGAGGTAAGAGATTGCTGCAGTAATTCAGAGGAGGAAGAAAGATGATCTGGACTTGTGGCAACAGTAATGGAGAAAAATGTATGGAATGGGAAGTCTTTCCGAGGCATTATTACCTTTTAATAATGAATAAAATGTCTGGAGGTGAGGGAAAGAGAATAATAAAGGCTCATATATTTCTGGCTTGGGAAACTAGGTAGCTACTGGTTTCATTCACTGAAACAGAAATACAGGAATAGACCTGAAGGTAAAAATAAGGGTTTTCGTTTTAAACATGTTTTATTTATGTGCCTATGAGGGATCCAAATGGTACTCAGTGGGCAGTTGGATAAATGTGGCTGACCTGGACTAAATACAGATTTAGGGGTCATTAGCAACTGAACCCACAGAAGCCAGTGTGCACGCGCGCGCGTGCGCACGCATTTATGCACGCAGTAAAAATGAGATCATGCGTTGGGACAAGAAAAAGTGGTTAGGTAGAATCCCAGTGAATACCAAAAGAGAGTAGCAGGGATGGGGAAATGAAGGATTGAACAGAGAGGAAAAAAGAGAATTAGAAGTGTGGGACCAGACATTTTGCAGGAAGATACAGAAGGAAAAAGCATGGGAACGCTCTCTCAGTCTCACAACAGTATTTGATACTGTGTGTGTATATACACATTTTAAAAATTAATTTAATTGTAATTTATAATTCCAGTTTGACCGTGTGGTTTGTCTGTTCTCTTTACAAAATGACAATATAATCAAGAGTTTCTTCAAACCCTTATTTGGTTTATATTAGATTATTTGGCTGACAAGAAACTCAGATGTAACTTTTAAGGATAAAATGGAACTCTTGGGACAAATGATTTAGAAACCTCTGAATCACTGTGCAACTCATGTGTCCCAAATGTGCCACGGTGATGGAATATAATGCTTATTTGGGATGGGATACACACACACACACGTGTGTATCTATTTACGAGTGATCTTCAGATGGCAGGTTACTCTTCCTAGGAGTCCAACGACTTGATTTCCTTTGGCTATAAAGTATCATTCTGGATAGTCATTTCTATGTTTAAAACCTAATCATCTACTCACATTATTTAGATTTAATACTCTTATAATTAATAGACTACTAAATGGTGTCATGGTAAATGACATTAAACACCAAATTAATTAGAACAATTATACCACTTATAATTAGGCAATTTTGAGGACTTCTACTTTGAAATGCTACTTTAAATAATTATCATTAGTCTTAATCAACTATTTGGCTCACAAAAATCACTTCATAACTCCGTGTAAAGAAAATTCTTTTTATCTCTCAAGTCTTCATCAAGTGATTGTAAACTCTTCAAATTAGAACACATGAAGTTTTAAAAGGATCCTCTGGAGCACTGGTGGTGCAGTGTTTAAGAACTTGGCTGCAAACCAAAAGGTCAGGAGTTCGAATCCATCAGCCGCTCCCTGGAAATCACATGGGGCAGTTCTACTCTGTCCTGTGGGGTCACTGTGAGTCGGAATCGGCTAGACAGCAACAGGTTTGGTTTTTTTGGTTCCTCTGACTGTCATAAATGGAAGCTATTAATTAAACTTTGATGTGGATCTCATGGGGACGGGGTGGAAGCCGAATATCATGGAAATTGGAGCTCCTAAATGGCTTTGAGGGACCCTGGTGATGCAGTGATTAAGGGTCACCGGTTCAAACCCACCAGTCACTCCATGGGAGAAAGATGTGGCAGTCTGCTTCTGTAAATATTACAGCCTTATTACATAATTATTATTAAAGGCCCAACAGCACACTCTGCAGCCACTGTGCCCAAGAGGAGAGAGCAAATATGCATCTTAACCCTCAGAAGTTTATCATCTATTCCCTAGAAATGCCTAAGGATACTAAAGCTTGGAAAGAAGGTGAGAGAGAGGGAGGGAGGTCAGGAAAAAGGGGAGGATGAGGGCCCAGGGGTCAAGTCCATTACCTAATTATTCAGAAAGCATGCACATGTGTATTGGTGTATATTCATGTATGTGAATAGAGGGAATGTTGTATAAGCCTCATGAGCACAGAGGGTTACGTGTCTCCTTTTTTAAATCACAAATTACTTTCTTTCATGACAAGTTCTACACAAAACTGACATGTCTCAGTTGTAATCACAATAGTTCATCCTTTACCCTGTAAATCGTAATTAGCAATGACTAAAACATAGGCACCTACCTTAAAACTTGAATGGACTCTGTTGTTATAAAATATACCTAGTGGTGTGAGTTCTGGTTTTGCTAAGAGCTGCAATCCACTGGATTCTCCAGTAGGTTCCTTGTGGAATATATACCAGATTCCAGCATCCTATAATTGAAAGGGTAAGATCATTAAGAATCGTATTTTATAAAGCCGCTCCATGAAACATCCTTATAAACTTACTGCTTCACAATCAGGTTTAATCTCTTTGACATTAGTTTTTTATTGTTTCAGGTTAAGAATCCCTATTAAAAAGCTGTGTATACGTCTGGTACACTCAAAGCAGTTTTATCATGCCCACTCTGACTTTTTTTTGAAAAGCAAATTTGCGAAAGGATTGGAGAAAAGAGAGAAATAATTGGCTAATATCAAAATTGACTTTCGAAATAACTTTCCCATCACTATCTTCTTTAAAAAGTTATGCAGAAGTTAGAAACAAGCAAGCTTTCAATGTGACCAGGATACCACAGCCTTTAAGCAGCAGGTTTTTTTCTGTTTACCTCAAATCTGATCAAGGGATGAGTCATGGCTATTAAACTACTATTCCCCCGACACACGGAGTTCACTGACTTCTTTCAAATAACTCCAATGCCCTTCCTGTCCTGAGACAAAGTTTTGCCAAAGAAAAAAAATCACCACATGCATGAATCAGGATGCTGTCTCAGTATGGAACTGGCCCATTCAATTTCAGTGTTACCAACCTTAACAGGAACAGCAGCAAAGTGTAAACATTTTTTGGCACTCGAAATGAGATACAGAAAACAAAAGAAATTTTCTTAATTCCTCTTTTTTTTGTTTTTAATTTTAAATGTAATTAAACCTTAGCCCAATGTGAAGGACAACTTCACATTATGCAACTTTCATTAGACAGGTTAAAACTTAACACATACAGTATAAAAGGACAGTTTGAAGACTTAAGATAAAAAGTCGGCAAACACTTCTTTAGTGCTGGATGTGTGCCAAGTGGAGTCCTTGAGTGGTGCAAATGGTTAACTGAAAGGCTGAAGGTTTGAGACCAATCAGAGGTGCCTTGGAAGAAAGGCCTGGCAATCTACTTCCAAAAAATCGTCATTGAAAAGCCTACAGAACACAGTACTATGTGTGGTGTCAACATGAGTCTGAATCAACTTGATGGCAGCTGGTACTGGTTTATGAGCAGGCTCACGGTAAGGCTATTCTCAAGAAATTTATAGTCTAATGGAAAATACACAGATCACTAAAATATAATGTTATGTAGTAAGTACTATTTATTACATATATAAAAAAAAGAGCCCTGGTGGCGCAATGGTTAAACGCTTGGCTGCTAACCAAAAGGTCGGCAGTTCTAACCTACCAGCGGCTCCACGGGAGAAAAGAACTGGCAATCTGCTTCCATAAAGACTGCTGTTGCTGTTGTGTGCCGCCGAATCTATTCCAACTCATAGTGACCGCATGTGACAGAGCAGAACTGCCCCACAGATCTATTCCAACTCATAACGACCCCATGTGACAGAGCAGAACTGCCTCACAGGGTTTCCTAGAATGTAACCTTTGCAGAAGCAGATCACCAAGTCTTTTCTCCCACAGAGAGCCTGGTGGGTTTGAAATATCCACCTTCAGTTGGCAGTCGAGCGCTTAACCACAGTACCACCAGGGCTCCCCATAAAGATTACAGGCTAGGAAACCCTATGGGGCAGTTCAACTCTGCCCTATAGTGTTGCTATGAGTCAGAATCAACTCGACAGCACACAATAACAACAACATTACATATACGGGTGGTTAAGCACTCGACTACTACCTGAAAGTCTGGCAGTTCAAACTCACTCAGAGGTGCCTCAGAAGAAAGGCCTGGTGATCTGCTTCTGAAAGCAGCCTTGAAAACCCTATAGAGCAGTTCTATTCTGCACACATGGGGTTGCCATGAGTTGGAATTGAGTTGACAGCAGCTAACAACCACCACAACAATAAGTACTATATTAGTTGTAATGACTAAAGTCCTTTGAAAACATAAAAGGAAAATGACTTGTGGAAAGCATATATACCTGCACATCAAAATGAATGTGGTATCTAACATTTTCCCATTATAAAAGTGTACAGCTGAATCTTAATAACAAACTACTCTAAACAATGTGTTTGCCACCTCATCTCTTTTAGGTACAAAACAGACAACTCAATGGAAGTACACTTGGAGGTTGACAAGAAGACTCGGTATCATAGCCCTGGAAGCTGAAGGCAAAGAGAACCCTCTGAGGATTGGATGGCATTTGGGGATGGAGGAGGGGGGATGCGGGAGTAGCAGCTGTTTCCTGTTAAACACACTGTGGTGTCAAAACAGGTAAAGGGAGCTTTGTAAAAGGCAGTGGAAAGGTACAATAAAGAAAGAGTGTGATTTACTTTGGGAGGAAAAATCCTGCCAAAATATTCACTTTACTGGAATGGTTTTTCTAAAGAGAAAAGAAATAACTCACAAAATGAAAAGGAAGAATGTACATGAGGCGAGAAAGGTAGAGATCTGCTTTCTTCTTGTCTCCCAAGTAAGCCATGAGCCTCGATAAGAGTATGTGCGACCTTGCCTTATATCTTCATGAACTATTTGCAATTTGATCTGGCCTTCAACCCAGGACTTCTCAAAACAGTTGAAAGAAATCCCTGCCCTGGCTGCTCACTTGTAGATTAGAAAATGATACTTTTTAACCATCTTTATCTTTACCCAAAACTTCATCTTCCAATGAATACTCTGAGCATGAACCTCATATGTGCTCAACAAATATTTGATGAAAAATAAATGAATGAAAATCTGAATTGATTAAATGTCCAGGTCTCTGCCTTGTCAAATAAGAATCTTTCACTGACAGGAACTTTCCGTTTATGTTTTATGTATTTGAGGAAAATCACAGATGGAAGTTCAACCACCCTTCCAAGTACAGATGCCTATATTCTAGTGATCTCAAATATTCCTTTTGACTGATCTTTTATTTCATCCTAGGAAATAATGCCAAGTATTTTTTCCTATTTAAAAATTTTTAATAGCTGTGATGTACAAATACAAATGGATATTTACATATCACTGCAAAGTTCACATTTCTGAACTATAGTTTTCAACGCAGATATAATCTTAATTGTACAGTATCTAAAGATTGACTTTATTACTTAGCAGTTTTAAAACACATTAATATTAAATGTAGATTTCTCCAAGCTTATCCCGAGGATATTTCTGCAATCCAAACATAGCTCATTTACTCCCTTAAATTATCCACATGGGTTTGAGCATGTGAGTGAGAGAGACAGAGTCTGAAACAATTCAAGGCACATAGCGGCACAAAAGGTTAAGTGATCGATTACTAGCTGAAAGGTTGGTGGTTGGAACCTACCCAGAGGTGCCGTGGGAGACAGACCTGGTGATCTGCTTCCAAAAGGTCACAGCCTTTTGAAAACCCTATGGAGCAGTTCTACTCTGCACACAGGGCGTCACCATGAGTCAGAATTAACTTGATGGTAACTAACAACAATAACAAGCAGAGTTTAGCTGCTTAACCAAGGAGATGAAATTCCCAAGCGGATATGATCCCTGCTTTTAGCAAAGGACGTGCGTGTCCCTTGACCAGAGTGACAAATGTCACTGTTTTTTACTGAATCATCCATTCACATAAAGAAAAGCCAAAGTTTTCTTTGTTCACTGACACTAGGAACTGAAATGACCAGCAACTCAGCCACACGACTAAAGTATGAGAAGCCGGAAAGACTGTACATAATACACTAAAATTCCACTCTGGAAATGGCTTGATAACCATAGAGATTAATCCATATCTTCTCCAGTTGGCATCTGTCTTGCTATACTCCCAGACATTAACTGGCACAAGTGATTTACAAGAAATAGAAAAACCACCTCAACCATATCCTGATCTCAACTAAACAAGCAGAACCAGAAAACAATGTCACGCTGGGGTTACATTGGCACACATCACAGAAGTCATCATTCCATTCCATCTATATAAATCAGAGTATTTACAAACATGAGCGATACAAAAAATCTGAAAGCGCTTTAATCTTATTTACCTGTGAGCCAGCAGCTGCATTATTAATCAGATTATTGTTGGGATGAGCAATCCAGAAAGTTGAAACCGCCCTGCAAGGCATTTTTTTTAAGGTGATTTAAACATTCTTCATGAAAAATCCTGCCCACTATGAACTTCCCCCAAAATATCTTCCCCAAAGGTCAAAAGTCTTGACCATCACACATGACTTTTTCTTTCTGACCATCACTCACATGCAGTCCGTGGCAGGCACAGGGATGTAATTCCCAAATACTCTATCACGCATGGCGGTACACATGGAGTTATTCCTGTCGGTGGGGAGGAGAGTGCCAGGCTTGGTAAGGAGTCCAAGATTGTGGAACAAAGTATTTCTCTGTTCAACACCATCTTCCAAAAAGAAGCAATGGCCCAGTGTGTCAAATCCAATGGTGTCTTTTATCTGCAGAAATACAAGTATATAATGTCTTGGTAACAAGATTGATTATGATTTAAGTGACAAGTGCTATTCAATGTAACATGCTCAGTACAAATGCCAAAAGTAGTTCTAATCTTAGCAGAAGGAGCAAAGTCAAATATCAGGATTTATTTATCTCTTAAGAGGATAATTTGGAAGGCTAAAAAACTAGGCTTCCTTCAGAAAGAAAACCAGCACAATTCCCAGTAAAAGCAGGAGGGAGGAAAGCATGTGGTAGAGCAGTTTATTTATATAAAATTGAGAAATCATGAGAATGAAGGAGAATCAACTGTTTTAATAATGTGCATCTATATATTATGAGGCAACTTACCAGCAAGCCGTTAGTTCCATGCACAGTGATGCATCTTGAGAAGCTGTGATGAATAGACAGGCCATCCACAAACGTTGCATGTCTGTACCCTCCTTTATAATCCACATCACCACACAGGTGAAAATGCACAGGATACCGCCCCAGGTGCTGCTGACCCATGTGTTCCAATTCCACGTACGAAAGATGGACCGAAGTAAAATTTTTCTTAATCTGCAAAACAAGGTAACTGAAATCAAACTGATATTTTCCAGAAAAAAGAAGTGACAAAAATATTTTAAATGAAAATTTAAAGATATATCTATTTGATATATATGTGTGTGTGTATATATACATATATGGAAACCCTGGTGGTGTAGTGGTTAAGTGCTATAGCTGCTAACCAAAAGGCTGGCAGTTTGAATCCACCAGGCGCTCCCTGGAAACTCTATGGGGCAGTTCTACTTTGTTCCATAGGGTCACTACGAGTCAGAATCAACTCAACGGCAACGGGTTTGGTTTTGGTTTATATATATATAT